AAGGAAAGCAAAGCATGAGCACATCCCCTGTAAGTCTCAGTGCCTACCTACTCGTAAGGTCAGTAAATATTCAGACATACATATATTTATTTATTTAATTATACAGCCTTATGACTAGAACAGTGTTCTCAACCAGGGCAATTTTTCCCCCTAGGGGACATTTGACAATGTTGGCTTGAGGTGAGGGTGCTACAGGCCAGGGATACTGCTAAATATCCCGCAATGCACAGTACAGCTCCTCACAACAAAAACTTACCTGGCCCCAAATGCCAATAGTGCCTAGTATCAGTGCACTGATATGTAGAAATGGATGGATTCTGGTTACATATTGACTCTACGCAAAATTAGGAAGGTATTAAGTAATCTTAATTACTTGCTGTTTCTGTTAAATGCTGTGAACAAGCTAAGTACTTTAAACAACTCCGGTAACCAGCTTTAGTGGAGACTGTAAACAACTAAATATTGCTTGTAGACAACACTGCTTGTTAACAACTAAATATTCAATGCACTCAAATAGCTATTTTATGGGATCTTCTCATTTTTCCACAAAAGGGACAACTACTAAATACCAGGAAAATTGTACCTGAATCACAATAACTAACATTAAAAACACACAGACACACAAATAATAGTTTGGTCCTTTATGACCAGAAAGTATTGGTCATTTTAAAGTCCTACTAACACTTACCTGGGACGAAAAAGTACACACTAAGAAGTCTGCCTGAGACAGAAAATGTATATCCAGGATCACACCCCGAAGTGAATTTTCTGTATATCGATTATGTAGTCCAGCTGACCAAGAGATAGAATTATCACTAATAAATTCATAATTGGGGTACCTGAAAAAAGAAAGCAATTTATTCATGGTCACTGAAATTATAGTATCCCATCAGGATGTAGATTTGCTATTTTGACAAAGAGCTTCTCAAGGAGAGCTTTAATTATAGCATTCAATAGTGTAGTTCATGAGGCATCTTTAAATCCATTAGTGGGGCAAGAACCATTCTGGAATGCTCTGTATACAAAACATTATTGACCTATCATATAAAACACATGTACAGGCTGGGCACGGTGGTGCACGCCTGTAATCCTAGCACTCTGGGAGGCTGAGGCGGGAGGATTGGTTGAGGTCAGGAGTTCAAGACCAGTCTGAGCTAGAGCAAGACCCCGTCTCTACTAAAAATAGAAAAAAAA